TTAAATTAACCTTATGTTCAGGGACAGAATGACATTTAATTATTGATTATAAATCTACAGAATTTTCTGTATATGCAGTTGTCATAAGTGAATAATTACAGTTTTGTTTTTTGTTTCCAATTCTTATATTTTCTTTTCCTCATTGCACTAGCTATACTTGCAATATGATGTTAAAATAAAAGTGGTGACAGGAGACAAGTATGTCAACCTCTTGTCTCATTCTGGATCTCAAGGGAAAGTTTACAGTGTTTTATTGTTAAATACGGGCATGATCATGTTTTGTAGAAAATATTGTTTTCATAAACAGGTACTTACTTTTATCAATGGTCTTTTCTATATATATAGTATACTTTCCTCCTCTTTATTCTGTTAATGTGGTGAGTTTATACAGATTGATTTTTGAATGTTAAATCTTATATTCTTAGAATGAGCCTAACTTGTGATGTATTATCCTTTTTATATATTGTTGGATTCATTAGTTAATACTTTGTTAAGGATTTTGACCACTCTGTAGATGAGACAGATTAATCTTTATTGGAATGTCATTGTAGTTTAGATATCAGAAGTCATGCTGGCCACATAAAACAAACTAAGAAGTGTTCCCTTTTTTACTCGTTTTTTCTGGAAGAGTTTTATATAAAATAGGTAATATTACTTCCTCAAATATTTGGAAGAATTCCCTGGGCCTGGAGTTTTCTTTGTGGAAGTATGTTAACATGAATTTAATTTCTTTAATAGATATAAGCCTACTAGATTTTCTATTTCTTCTTTATTGGTTTTGGTAAACTGTGTTTTTTGAGGAATTTGTCCATTTATCTAAATTTTTAAATCTATTGGCATAAAGTTGCTTATAACCGGTCTCATTATATTACATTAACAATGGCTGGATACTTCCCAGACAGACCTTATACATTTCCCTCTAAGCATGGCTTTAGCGGCATTTTACATTTTTTCTGTTACATTTTCTTCTGTCACATTTTCTATTTGATTCTGCTCAAAATATTTAAAAATTTGCATTACAATTTCATCTTTGACCTGGGGTCATTAAACATGTGTTGCTTACTTTCTAAACATTTGGGAATTTTTAGTTATCTTTTTGTGATTTTAATCCTCTCTAATTTGTTGAGACTTCCTTCATGCCCCTGTATAGGGTTAATTTTGGTAAATATTCTATTTGCATTTAAAAGAATGTGTATTTAGTAGTTGTCAGATACAGTGCTCTATGTATATTAATTAGGTCAAGTTGCTTAACTATCTATTACTGAAATATTAATATGTTAAAATCTTGCACTAAAATTGTAAATTCATCTACTACTTCACAGTAATGTCAACTTTTGCTTTACGAATATTTAAGGTATGTTATTAGGTACAGACAAATTTGAATTGGCAATCACAACTGAATCCAAGTTTGGAAGATTTCTGTAGTACAAAAGTGGCTTTAGTGCTGTTTATCCTGGGGTTTCTGCTTTCGCTTAGATTTGGAGCTATCCTGTCAGATTGCTAATGCTTTTAAAGGAGATTTAAAAAACATTTTATCCATCATTTTTATTGTTTTCAGTGAGAAGGTAGGGCTGAATAACTCAGACTGCCAAATTATAAAAAATGATTCTCAAAAGATTTTAATTTCTGTTCTGGCCGGGCGCGGTGGCTCACGCCTGTAATCCTTGCTCTCTGGGAGGCCAAGGCGGGTGGATTGTTTGAGCTCAGGAGTTCGAAACCAGCCTGAGCAAGAGCGAGACCCCGTCTCTACTAA